TGACTTGGTGGGATAGAATCTCAAACATCAAGATAGCATCCTTAAATCTTTGTGGGGTGACAGGAATTTTGCATCAGTTAAGTTAGGACGCTTAAAACACAATAAACCCAAGCATAGAGCGTTAGGATACAGTATGCCCAAAAATAGGCAAATGGCTCCAGACTAATCTTCTAGGAACATTCAATACAGACTACGGACCTTTAAACCAAGGCCAACAATCTATATTCTTATGCTGTTGGAAGCACTTGTACCTCTAAGTTGAACAGTCAGAACTTCCTGCAATGTCCAAGGCAGTAGCTTGTACCCAACTCTCCAGGACAGCAGCAATGTTTCTTCTCAAAATGCTCCACACAGGCAACCATCTTCCAGCTCTACTACTTCTGGATATGCCCTACAGCATCACCCTCCCTATTCAGCACGCCTAAGAGACAAAAGACCTCCAACACAGCCTCCTCTCCCGGCATCAACCCAGGAGTCAGGGACAAAAGACAAAACTGGCTTCCTCCTCGGTCAAAGCATGAGAGGCAAAGACCCTTATGCGAGGTCACACCAAATATTTACAGCCTTCCCCAGCATGGACCACTGCCAATAAACCTCCTTGTTATTTGCCATAGAGACATTAACATTCAGATCTCAGCAATTTTGTTTCTTCTTGCTCTATCTGATAGAGACGCTTCCCTACAACAGGCAGAAGCAAACAATTTACTAAGCTTAGGGGAACTTTGCAACTCCAGAAACAAAAACAGAGCTCAGGCTAACTACATCCTAGCTGCAACGCTAAATTTAAACTTGGGACTCATTAAACAGAATTTTAGAACATGATACATTTAAACCTAACTCTTGCATTTTCTAAGAAGTTACATGAACATTTTTTTTAAATTGAAGTGAATAAAAGGTGATTGCTATAAGCACTCCCAGCAATGATATGTTTTTATCCGATTAACCGATTAATCGAACCTAATAATCTGCTAACTAATCGATTTTGAAAATAATCGTTAGCTGCAGCTCTAGTTTTTTTTTCTCAACCCCTGTAACTGTCAATTTTACTGGACACTTTAGTCTGCGTGCAAATGTTAGGAAAGCTATAAAAAAGGTATAGGACATAAAAAAAAGAAAATGTATATGCTAAATACTATCATTACAAATATTAATCACATACAATTAACGGAGTACAATAATTTACACTATGGGGGGAAATTTTAAATAACCGATTAAAACCCAACTCCAACCACAACTTTTTTTTTTTTTAAATCTTGGACAAAATGCACAAGTGTTAAAACCTCTTTCGTGTTTTACTGCTATCTGTGCCCCCCATTGAAGAAATTGTCCCCTGTGTCATGCTGTCAGAGAAAGCAAGTGATAAAAAATCTCTACAAAGTGAACAAAAATTGCAACAAAAACACTTTTATAAAGTGGGGAAAGTTTACAAGTTTTGTTACATTTGTATTGCTGTGTATGTCTTTCTGTCCTGGTACACCCATTTTCCTCATTTCTAGAACTGGTGTCACAAGGACAAAAAGTTCAAGGAAACCTTCCAGTGGGGTAACAAAAAGGAGTTAACATTTGATAAAGCTTAAGACTCTTTCTTACTTTCTCCCAATTAAAAAAAAAATAGTTTAGGCTTTGGGCTGTAACATATTTGTCACACTTTTTGCCTCTCTCATGGCTGACCTACAAGTAGGAAATGATTTGTTACAAAGCAATTGAGGACACTACTATGATGCATTGTTAAAAATTAAATTATGGCTCATTCCCAACATTGCACTCCCGTAGTGCACGTTACGTGCATTGGTGAATTGCAGTGCCATTCGTTTTAAATGGCACCCTATCGCACCTCCACAACTCACCTACTTTGCAGTGCACTGTAATGCACTGTAATATACTACCGTATGTTGTGGAATGCTGCATTGCAAAAAACGGTGCAGGTTCTTTGAGTGCTCTGGTGCATTGGTGACCTATTCAAATGAATGGGCTGCCTTAACACAGTACACATTACTGGGTTACATAATGCACCAGTTAAAGGTGTGAATGGGTCTGTAGTTATATATTGGTGTTAGGGTATTCCATTCCAACAAGAACAGCCATGTACACTTCATGTGCTCTCTACAAGTGTTTGTGTGGAAAAACAGACACATAAGTAGAAATTAGTATGTCACAAATATATTAAATAAGACCAAAGGTTCTAAATATAAATAAATTAGGGCTGTGCAAATTAACGATTAAGCTCTCGATTAATTGTTAATGTTTTTGATCGATTCAAATTTTTTTCATCGATTACATTTTTTTTGAAACTTTCTGCACGAGCGCCAGCTAAGGCATTGGCCTATACACATACAGCACAGCAATGAAGTAATAAAATGAACTAGGATCACACTAATCCAGCACGTTATTATTCTGAGTTGCCCCACTCAAGCTGCGGCCATATTGAGTGGGGCACGTGAGACTAATAACGTGCTGGATTAGTGTGATCCTAGTTCATTTTATTACTTAATTGCTGTGCTGTATGTGTATAGGCCAATGTAGTTGGATCCGTATGTGCGTTATAATTAATCGAAATTATTCGATTAATCGATTAAAAAGAATTTCGATTAATCGAACACGAAAATTTTAATCAGTAACAGCCCTAAAATAAATACATTAATTAAAAGTGCATTTGGTGAGTACTTACGTTGTCCACAGTGAGTCCCTGTGTATCCTTTTTGACAAGAACATGAATCTTCACTGCAGGATCCTCCATTCATGCAGCGCACATTACAGTTGATAACTTTAGAGAAAAAAGTAAAAGAAAAATGTATACTAATTAAAAAAGTACTTAACACAATAAAAGTAAAAATGAATCCTATTCAATCATTTGTCGCATTTGCCCAAAACTTTGGTATGTAAGTGATTGTCTTCAATTTTCCCTGTCTTTCTGCAACCCATTATCTTTTTACAGCAAAACTAAAGAATTTGAAATCATGAAAGTACCTAGTACAAGAAACGTAAAATATTTAATTTCTCTTGATTTTACATTAAGAATTAAGAGAAATGTGAGCTATTAGTGTTAAACTATACCATGTTATAACTGCAAAGTCCAACTGATGAGGCTAAAGGCTCCTTGTGTTCCTGTTTTAAGAGACAGGAAAATAATTGTTTAGAAAATAACGTCACCAGCACTCCAAAGGATAATCAAGCAATATTCCATTTATTGGCACATTGCCATTCAAATGCACTTCACTCGCATTTGAATGGCAATGTGCCAATAAATGGACTATTGCTTGATTATCCTTTGGAGTGCTGATGACGTTATTTTCTATCTGGTCTTTTCACGGTGCCATCCATGGCCACTACAAGCACCCACCCGGTCTTTTTGATACTTCGGTAAGGAGTGCAGAGAGATCTTTTGATTTAGGAAAATAATTGTGTCCAAGATTTTCTACATTCAAATAGTTCTTTCTTTTGACTTTACTTTTGTGAAGCATGTGTTCCTTTGAATAAAAGCGCCTACTCTTAGATGACTGTTCTGTACTCCAGAGACAGCCAAGACACAGGGGGCATACGCAGATGAATTCCATTATGATATCAGTTACAAAGAAGGGATACGATTTATCCTCAACTCTAGATATGCTCAACCTGAAGGTAAGAAGGGCTAAAAAACCCACAGTGGTTTGGCCCCAAGCAAAGGTTCTTGTTGAAGACTCGCAGACTGGAGCATTTCATACTTTTATTGCTGTTGATAAATTAGACTTTTTTATATGTTGAACTGGGATAATAAATAAAAAGGTCGGGAAATTCAAATCTGTCATGCAGGTGATAGAAGGCTGTAGACATTGAACATTCTAAATATCTGTGTTTTTCTCACACTAGTGATTCCAAACTGCCTTCAGTGACCATGTTTTATGCTAAGGGGTTTATAAAACAATAGCACATGAGTGGTACAAATATGCAAGCAGACGACAGGCATTAAACATTTTGTTATATTCATCACTGGTTTTGATGATATTCTCCACTGCTGTTACCATATTTTCGCACTCCTCATCTTTACCAAAGGGTGTTAAAGGCATACTATTCCTCTGGTCATAATGAAAGGTAAACAACAGCTATCTCTTCCTTTTCTCTATAAGTTACCTTACTGGTAACAAAAGTCATAACACTGCTCACAGATTTTAATGATTTGCCTTCATAGCCCACTTATAGTGTGTCATTCCCATAATCACAGACTGCACAAGGCCTCATTCACTGGTTGTAAATGGAGGCTCTCACTCATGATCCTACCTTAAAACTAACAAAAAATTATAATTTATATACTGCATCTACAGTGATTCCCCCCCCACCCTACTTCTACACCGGCTGCCAGAAGTGCACCCTTCCTTCTACCAGAGGAGATGCCATATGCTACAGAAAGGTCTAAACTGGGCCCCTCACTGCTGTAGGTTCTGGTAGATTGAGAAGAAAACAAAGCAATTAGCTGAAGAATCCAACATGGCTAACTAATCTGAGGAGGTCTGCTGATGCCTATGGAGATTGAGAATTGTGGCTTAAATAAGCAGCACTGAAGGTTCCAAATAAAAGAGCAGGGATCCCAACCTGAAAAAAGCGATTTCAGGGAGGTGCCCTTCTCATTTCAGGGAGGTGCCCTCTGCCCCTGAAATGATGGCAGATAGCACAGGAAGCAATAGCTTCTTTGCTATCTGCAGGTTTTTTTTTAGTATTCTGACAGCTGGTGCCATAAGAATAAAAAAAAAACAGCATATGAATGCATAGCTAGATTGCTATTGGCTATTTCAATTTGCAATATCCAATAGTAAGCTGGCTATTGCACCCGCCCTCTGCTGCTGTCAATCACTAAAGAGGACCTGATGGAGAACTTCAGGTCCCCCTCTGCTGATTGACAGCAGCAGTGGACGGGTGCAATAGCTAGTTGGCTATTGCAAAGTGAAATAGCCAATAGCAATCTAGCTATGCATTCCTATGCAGTTGTTTTTTCTTTTTTCTGACTGACGACAGCCGGCGGCCCCGATGTAAAAAAAAACAAAAAAACGGAGAAGGGAAAGGTTTACTCTGCTAGATCGAGCAGAGTAAACCTTTCCGGGAGAAAATGTTTCTCTCCCAGGTGGCCGGGAGCCGCTATCCGGGAGAATTGGGATGTCTGAAAGAGGTCAAACAAAGATATGTTTAATGTAGTTTCTAGGACTATGCATGTAGACTACACCATGTTTAGTGCAGCCTATTTGATTTACAAAAGGCAAATAGGCTCTTAACGTTACATGGGAATTTGCACTTTGCAAGGTAATTTTCACTTAGCTTGGTCATTCACCAAAGTGAAATTTCACTTTGCAAAGAATGCACATTAATGCACAAGGCAGATAAAGAAACCCCAATCATCTAATCATGTGATTAGATGATGGAAGCATCACCTCATTCACTCAAGCTGAGGGACAATTCCAAAGCGCATCGTGAACTGCCATCCCTTTAATAAATAAATCCCATGTGTCTTCTTTAATTTAAAATGGGACCATCCAACTTTGCAGGTAGAAATTTTGGGTGCATTCATCAAAACTGGAGAAGACAGAATATGGAGCAGTTGTGCAGGGCAGCCAATCGGCTTATCTCTTTCATTTTCAAAGCTTAACTGAGCAAACTGAGAGAAGCTGATTGGTCACTATGGACAACTGCTCCAGATTCTGTCTGCCCAAGTTTTGATAAATGCCCCCCTATGTGTTTAGTTGTAAGGATAGCATTAATGACACTATGGAATCAATTATTTAAATAAACTGCCACTGATGGGGCAAAACACACACAATCTTCGTAAGAACAATTGGAAGCTGTCTCACTGGAGTTTAATACCAGTGTATGATTACCAGTATGATTTTAATGGAAAACATACATAGATATTGTCCTGGAAGAAACTGATCCTAGGACCCCAATGCCATAGTGTTAGCAACTGAGCCACTGTGTTACAGATCAGTTTGACTATAACTCCTTTGCTGACATATTTAATAATATATAGTGCCATTGCAGGGGGATATATATAATGGAGAGTGGATAATGCTATCTTCCATCTGGTACACTCTGCATGCTTACTCCTCACCTTGGCTTCTATTTTACAGTCCTTTCATAAAATGCAAGCCATGGTGTAGTATCCTACTGAGTTCTTTCTGCTGCTTCTCTTCCACTGGCGTAGAGGCCAGTCACATAACTTTTTACAGTTTCGTAACCGTGCCCTCCTCCTGGCCTTTCCCCCTTTCATTTATTTTAACAACATTTTACTGCAGACACTAAGCACATTTGTAAAGCAAAGCACACGACTGCTTTATCTAGTGTCCACAATGTATAGGTATTTGATTCTGTGGGTAGTGCTTGGAGGGTTGGAAGGTGGAGCAGATCTATTCTCCACTAATGCCAAACCACAAGCAAAAAAAAAATAACCACCTTGAGAATTCATACAAGGGTAATCACAATGATTGTCAGAGATTTCACATAGTTTGGGATATATGATTGAGGCATATTGCAGATGGTCATAGTTATATCAAAAAACAGTGCGATTCACCATTGGATTACAAGCATATATATACTCAAGGTAATTCATTGTATAAGGATATCATGAAATTCATATATAAAAAAAATAACAAGAGAATGAATGGTCTATAGTGAGCAGGCTTTTTTGTCCTGCCCTGCACTCAAAATGACTACCATAATAGGCTGTGTATTTAAGTTATATATTCACAATAAAGTGACAGTGCTTATGAAACTCAATCAGGTAGTAGGACCAGAACTTATGATGACAACAAGTTCCCTCTATGTCATGGTGTCAAGACCTAGGTGGTGATCCAGTGGTCGATGGTAACTGCTAATGAAGGGTAAAGGTAAGGAAGAGCAACTTCAACGTTTCGCGCAACTCTGCGCTTCTTCAGGAATGGAAGGGAGATATGGTATTTCCTGCCGATTCTTTTCTATGGAGACCCGTTGTAACGTCTCTGCAGCGCAAGCCTTGGATCACAACTGCGGAGAGGGTACCTTGCGGTTTGGTCATATATATCTCAACCATGTAAGGATATGGTCCGAATACCCATAGGCCTCTAATGAATGGAACAATTCCCGTTCCCACCCCCCCAGATACAGGTTGGCATACGACGGGGCACAGCATGTGCCCATCGCAACCCCCTGCATCTGGAGGTAGTGGGAACCACCAAACGTAAAAACGTCATGTGTCAGAACAAAAAGCAGCAAGCCCAAAATGAAGTTGTTATATGATGTCGATGAGTTAGTCCTTTCGTCCAAAAACTGCCTAATGATCTCTATACCTTCTAGATGAGGAATACTGCTATATAGTGCTTTCACGTTGATTGTAACCAGCCAAGAGTCTGGTGTGATCATAATGCCGTCTATGTTTTTAAGAAGGTCGGATGTGTCTTGTAAGTATGAAGGTAAGGCTAACAAATGAGGTCTAAGATAGTCATCAATCATCCGACTGGCCAGTTCGGTAAGACTGCCGATTCCTGACACAATTGGTCTGCCCGAAGGGTCTGTTAAGTTTTTATGGGTCTTAGGAAGGCAGTAGAAAGTGGGGAGACGAGGAAATGTAATAGATAGTCTAATGTTTGTTTGTTAATGAGGTCATTGTGGTACGCTCGATAGATAATTGTTTGATATTCGGTTTGGTACGTTTTTACTTGGGTCTCGTCGATTTTTTTATACCACTCTGGGTAACCGTATTTTTCGCTCCATAAGACGCACTTTTTCCCCCCAAAAGGAGGGGGAAAAAGTGCCTGCGTCTTATGGAGC